TAAACTTGAATGCCTTTTAGACAGAACACCAATATTTAAGAGAAAATTTTAAGAAAGATTATTTTTCTTATTCAATATGTTTTAAAGATATGAACTTCCATGTGTATTCATAAATGAAGACTAAGACCATTCTCAATTTAGCTAAAACCTATCAAATGCAAATACTCAGAGCTCTTAATAACTGCAGATAAGAATAACGACACAGTCAGTTAAGTGACTCAGAACTAACCAGAATAATCTTTCCTGACACATATACAAATAAAGAGGTGAGAATTTAAATATCCAACTGTCAGGTTAAAAAAAAGCATAGCTATGGGGCTTCCCTGGTGGCGCAGTGGTTGGGAGTCCGCCAGCCGATGCAGGGGACATGGGTTCGTGCCCCGGTCCGGGAAGATCCCACATGCCACGGAGCAGCTGGGCCCGTGAGCCATGGCCGCTGAGCCTGCGCATCCGGAGCCTGTGCTCTGCAACGGGAGAGGCCACAGCGGTGAGAGGCCCGCGTACCGCTAAAAAAATAAATAAATAAAAAGCTTTAACGAATATCTCTTCTTGAATCGTGAAATTAATCAACTGAATTTTTTAAAAAAATCACCACAAACAGTATCAGAAACTAAATTTATTGCTAACTACTGCAATAAACAATCGGTTACCTACATGATTTGTAAAATTCAGTTTTGGATGAAATTTTGGAGATGAAAATTCTAAAGATAATACTAAAGTTGTTAATTGAAATTATTTTGGAAGACTGAAGTCAAACTATTTTGGCTGTTCACCTTACACGAGGTCTCAAAACTTCAGTCATCTTTAAAGAAACTAAAAATCACTATATGACTATGCGAGACTGAAGTTCAGTTGGGGATCACGAAGTCAAAGCTACACCAAGAACAGAACTAAATACAGTTTATAAAAGTGAAACCAAAACCAACAATTTCTAAGAGGCTTCGGAACCAGAGAAATGGTAAATGAATGGCTGACAAAGCAGTGGTGTGTGCGTCTGCTCTGGAAGTTTATCTGAAAGACAGAGCCACAGGCCTCAATGCCACAAGGCCAGCAGAAGCTTAATTTTGTATAAAAAGTGGCCCCGATAATGATGACATCATTTTGTATCCATCGTCACTCACGCGAGGGCTGGGAAGATGGGAAGTGGCAGAGAAAGGACCCCAGGTCCCTTCAAGGCAGGATCTGGACAGTCTGAGTCAGTCACCCACCTGGAGGCAGTGGGACCCAAGACCCTAAGAGCCTGGCACTGCCCTTCCCACACCCTCATCCTCACAAGGATTGAGCCAGACACACCTCAACTGTCCCTGAAGAGCACAGCGATGCTGCACAGAACTGCTCATGTGTCAGGTATCCCTGACATGCATGTTTTAATTCAAATGCAATTGCTCAAGATCTAGGGATGCACAAAGCTTCCACAGGAAGCAAGTGCTAACACGCTCACTTCGGTTAAACAAATATGAACACCCACCGTGTTGTATTTATTAAAAAGTGAACAAGAAGATTAATGGAAACGAGAACATCACGATTTACTTTCCTATCGGAAAAACAACTGAGAAAAATCACTGTGAACCACAGAGCAAGTACTCAGAAGATAAACTGAGGCATGACCTGCACGTCACTGAGGCTGTAACCTGTGAACTCCCACCCTCAGCTCGCAGCACAGGAGCCGGGGGCACAGTGACTGCCCACGTGCAGGACTCAAGAGCAGGCCAGGGAGCGGGGGGGCAGGGAAGCCCCCGGAGGAGGCGTGGGAAGGGCAGAGTCCGAGGAAAGACTAGCAAGCCCAGAGGAAGCCAGCGTCCCGGGGATGCCAGGGTGCAAGGCTAGGCAGGGGAAGGAGACTGAGGGCCGGCCACCAGCAGTGGGACCGCAGGGCCCGCAGGAGGGCCATCTCTCCCAGGGAGAGGGAGCAGCCCGGGAGCACTCTGGTCACGGAGCACAAGAGCGAGCATGTCCACGGACCCAGTCATGGCACAGAGGTGGAGTCGCAGGGGTGCCGGAGATGTCGGGAGGACACGAGAGGACACGGAGCCTCACATGGAATCTCTGAGGAACCACCCAGCCGACTTTCTGAAGCTGGGCTGTAAAGAGGAGTGTGACGGGGCTGTGAGTACAGTTAGGGGGACCAGAGCTTAGGGTTCAGTGCCTGATGTCCTAGCCACCCCTCCCCGACCCTCAGGAGGTCGTAAGTAATTTGTGTCTTAGGATAGTTGAAATTTAGAAGATGGTAGTAAGTATTAAGTGATAATCATAGGCGAGGCACAGGTGTTATAGGCACGCAAATGACTGAAACTGTTTGCAAGGAGTTAAAACATTTAGGATGTGCATGTGTGTGCATATGTACATACGAATGTGCAAGTGTGTGCACACGTGTGTGCACGTGTGCAGGGCCTGCTGTATAACGACTCCTTCATTTGTGAACTGGGGATTGGTTAACTGCACAAGAGCTTGGTGCAGCAGGGCCCATGTGAGGTAATTCATACACGTCTCGGGGGAAGGAGAGAGGCCCCCAAGGGGAAGCAACAGCCAGGCTGGTCTGCAGAGGCTAGGGGCCAAGCACAGAGCACAGCTGATTACTGGGTATTGTTCCCTTGAGGAGAAAATGGAGAGATTTTATTGAAAAACATTCTGCGATCTGACCCTTGGAATTCTGAACCTTTCAGTCACTGCTCTATAAAAAACTTAAATGATGAGAAGTCTGGGAATGTGAAAGGAATCTCCTCACATCTTTGTTTAAAAATTTCTCCAAAACAGGGAAATAAAAAACAGATACAGAAATACATCTATTACGTTCATGTACTGAAGAGTTACAACAGAGATTAAAAGGACCCGAAAACAACCTTGCTCACACAGGGGAACTTCCTGGGAAAGCACTTGAGTGGGAGGGGGCCCCGAGTGGAGCAGGCGCGGACCCGCCGGGAGTGAGGCGGGGGGGGGGGCGCAGCGAGGACACGGGCATGGCTCCGTGGGAGCTGCAAGGGGACCCCAGTTACTGAACAAATCTTCACGAGCAGGCGCCACGCACCATGCTGGAGTCTAGACAAGGGAGACATAGAACCCGGGAGGCAAGAGCCTCTGTTTGTGAATTTGCAAATTCGTGATAAACTTTTGTGGTGGCATGTCTCACCTGAACTGATAAGGATCTTGTTATCACTCCTAATCTAATATTCACCTATTTCTCTGCAGGGATCTCTACCGGGGATATAACATAATATGTGGTATGTGCACTGTTACCTTCCTAAAGTCCAAAGATACTGAAACTCCCAGTCATCTAGCCCAAGAGTTTTGAAAAGGATGGTAGATCAAAAGTTCCAGAGGCTATTGAGTTCAAAAGTTCCAGAGGTCTGTTCACGTGGAGTCAGGAACCCAGCTTACACAGAAGGTGCATTTCATCACCCACCTTGGATAACTGACCACTACCCACAACCTCACGGATTTGGCTTTAAGAAGCTCAACCAGCATAAAGGCAGGTGCTGGAACCACATGTACAGCCTTCTCCCTTGTAGATAATTATCTTACACATAAAATACACGTAATTCCCACAGGTTTAATTTAAAACGCCATGCCTACTCTCCACTGGCCGTGTCACCTCTGCAGGGTGGACGGCTGGTGTCCTGATATTTAAGTAGAGGCCTGAGGACAAAAGTACGCATGAGGGAGGATTACCGTCTAAGCAAAGGGAAGGACCTGGGGGAGGATGTGGGAAGTCTGGGCCACAAGAGGCCCAGTGTGCTGGAGGCAGCCGGAGGGGCCGCAGGGGGCGGGTGCCGGACTCAGTGCTGCCTGCTCTGTGGATTTTACCGCGAGTGAGCAGGAAGATGCCGCAAAAATTTTAAGCAAGTTACTGACAGGCTCTGACTTAAACTGTAAAAGGATATATTTGGGATGTGAACTGTACTCCAGTTTGGACACAGAAAAACATGGGTACACAAGAGTCCTGGCATTACAGGAAAAAGATCAATTATGGTCAGCTGTAAGCAGAAGGCTCATATGTCTATAATGATGGTGATTTCAGGAATTAAATACCTGCAGTCACATAAAATATTACTGATTTAATGATTCTGGCTCTTAGCTTAGAATTTTGGCATCACTGTATCGTTACCCCTAATATGAAAAATAACAATAAAAACCAAAGGTATTAAAGAGTAAACAATGTTATCACCATCTAATAAAAGCATCACACAACAGAAATGACAGGTGATCACAACAATTCGTTGAAAGAACGAAGGTAACAACCTGCAAGCAGGTCACTGGTACAGCCACACTCGCCTCAAAGAACCGATGTCTAATATGAACAGAACCATTTCCACATCACGCTACATCGACATAACGATGTTAGTAGGTTGCTTGGCTTTATGTATTCTACAGTACTTCATACAAAGAAACAACTATTTGATCAATCAAAAAGTTTATTTCATTCAACAAGCAATAGTTAGTTCTAAAATATATATTATGAAGTGATTTAAGTGACTTTCATTTGATGTCAAAATGATAATACTGGAACTGTCAGTCATCCTTCTCCAGTTTAATGTTCTTTGCTAAATTATTATAATAATCTTACTCCCATACGTTTTCCTTGTATCTTTCACCTTTTTGGCATCAGTAATTGGGTCTTCCATAGAAGTGACCAAACGGCTTAAGCAAAATTTTTGATGAAGGTTGCAAGGTCATTGCATAAAACTGTCACTCACAGTCTATTATTTCTATGCAGTAAAGAAATATCATAGGAAGCAAGTGTACGTTACTGAGATGATCACACATTATGAGGTGTAATTAATTATTCTCTGGAATTTAAGAATATCTTTAACCATTTTAAGTACTAATAACCCCAAGCTACCAAAAAGTGGGTAAGCTAATAAAAATTTAAATCAACCCCTCAGTAAACATGAAAAAAAAAAGGGAATAAACAGAAAAGCATCTTCAGCCTGTACTGAGAAAAGGAAATCCATATTCACCCCTCTGGATGCATCTGGAGACTTCAGTAACTTCAAACCACCCACCTGTCGGGGGCAGGCAGTCCTTCCAGTCGAAGTAGCCTGCGTAAATTCCAGGTTCTAAGGAGCCAACGATGGGGTCTGCCTTCAATTCAATGTAGTTTTCAAAGAGTCTTTGGTCCAACTCTTTCAGTGAGGCCATGCTAACCTATAAACACAAAGAAGAGTAATTATGAGCTGTCTGCTTGAGGGTGAAGAACAAAGTAAAACAATGTAAATAAATACTTCAGTAGATTTTAACAGTTTTTACCAACTTCTTACAAAAAGGCAAGATTTTTATTTTACTTTCAGTAATAAAGACCACTCTAGTGCAGCTGTGTAACAAGATAAGAATTAGTCCTCTGTATAGACCAGGGGCCGTCTTCACAAGGTCAGCCCACATGAACTAGTTCTTGATGGAAGAGCGGGTCAGTGTCAGCCCCGTGCGTCCATGCCTGGTCTCACCAGCACCCAGGGGCCAAGGACTTGCAGAGGGGGTGGGCCGAGCCCTCAACATGGGAGGAGTGAGAATCTGGGGAGTGCAGGGTCGGGGCTGGCACTAGACTGTACTAGAGGTTGTAGACCATACAATACAGCATGAAAAGATACCAGGAAAAAAGAGCACAACTGTCCTTTCAATGCATACTATAAAGCTATCATAGTATACGTATAATTATAGTAATAATGAACACAATGTAATACTCAGTAAGAGATAGATCATCTCCCTGAAGATAACAGTTAAAACTACAAAGCCTCTGGGAAAAAGAAATTCAGGACACTGGAGCAGGTAAAGATTTTGACAGGATATGAAAGACACTAAACATTTGTAAAAGTAGATAAACCTCATCAATATTTAAAATTTCTACTCAAAGAATATATATCTGACAAAGATATACACAGATTTCTAACATCACTAATAGAAAGGTAAACAACCCAATTAAAAAATGAACAAATGAAATGAACAGTCACTTCTAAAGACGGTACCTGAATATGAACAGCTAAATGCATAAGAAAGATGCTTAACATCACTGTTATCAGGGAACGCCAACAAAAGCCAGGAGACGGGCTAAAGTAAAACAGAATGTGAAGTGGTAGTGAGCAAGTGGGGCACCCGGACACTCACACGTTGCTGGCTGAGTGTAAAGGATATCCCCACTTGGGAATACTCAGAGGTTCTATCAACTTATTCCATGACCAGCAATTCCACTTCTAGGTATATATGTAAGATAAGAGAGTACAAATGTCCACAGAAAGACTTTTACAGCAGTGCCCACGGCAACTTTATTCATAAAGACCTAAAACTGGAAACAACCCAAAGCCCATTACCAAGAATGAGTAAGCAAAATATGTTACCTAAACTCTGCAATAAAAGAAATAGATCAGTAATAGACACGCAATTTGGCTGAATCTCAGAAATGATTAGGTCTGAGCAAAAGCAGCCAGACACAGGAGACTACAAATTGTATGGCTCCACTTTACATGAAGTTCAAGAAAAGGTGAAACTAACCTGTGCAGACAGAAGTCAGACAGTGGTGAGAGGGGTGCCATGCAGGTGTCCCACTGCATGGGACTTGGCACAAGGAGAACATTTTATATTTTGATCTGGGTGGCGGGTACTGTGCAAAAAGTCACCAATCTAATACACTTAAGATTTATATGTTTTACTGTATATAAGGTATATCTCAATTTAAGAAAAAAGGTTGAAAATGAATGTATGCACAGATAGGTACCAGACAAATGAAACAATGAGAATCAACGATACTCACCTCATAAATTTTTTTGTGAGGATTAGAAATGATAATTTATGAGCCTTGTGTAGCACATCTAAGATACATAATAAATGCTAGCAGCTATGATTATCATTTTTCAAATGCCCTGTTCATACCACCTGAGAAGCACAGATGTCAGCTGAGTTCACCTGACCCTATTATGCAAGGATGGGGTCTGTCTATCACGAACCCACCACCTGAGAGTGATGGATGAAAGTTACATGAAAAAAAACTCTGTTAGGAAGGAAACCACAGTCCAGTAGGGCAGACAGACAAGAAAACATACAAAAGCCAATGTTCACGGAATGTGGCTGATAAGGAAGCAGAGGGAGCAAGAGTGACCAGGGCACTGCTAAGGGGCTGAAAAGCTTCTCAGGGAAGGTGGGGCCGGACGGCTTCCAGGCCAGCCGTCTCTAATGGAAAAGGGGAAAAAAGGGTGCTAATTCAACAGTTATGTAATTAGAAATAGGTGTTCTCACACAGGTTTGAGCTGTGCAGGTCCACGGATATGTGGATTTTTCTCGGTAGTAAATACTACCGTACTGTACGAACCCGCAGACGGGGAGGGTGGATACAGAGGGCTGACTCTAAGTTACACGACTGGGTGGAGGGTCAGCACCCTAACCCCAGTGCATAAGTAGTTCAAGGTCAACTGTAGTTCAACAACCAGTAATAACATGGAGAAATACAGAGCGTGTTAGGAGGCAGCATTTTAGAGGCTTGTGATGATCTACCAGCTCTCTCTTTGGCAGCAACGTGCAGGTCAAGGTGCTCCGATGTCACACGTGGTCACGGGGGGCACGTCCAGGAACAAAACGCAGATGGCGGATGCCCTGCTTCCCTGGTGTCTACACAAGGGTCTGTAGCTCACTCAAAATAGTTAACGAAATGTAAAATCATCTCATTGTTGTGATTTAATGTTTCCAACTTAAATTTTCTGGTTTACTATTTTAAAAACTTTTTGGAAGGAATACTTCTAAAAAAAATAAGTTTCTGAGAAAGAAAAAAACAGCAGGAAAAAAGCCCTGTTATTTTCATTTCAAAGATGGCAGAAAGAGTGCATTTAACTGAGCCAGCTCTACAGAAATAAACTCATCAAACTATAATCAGAATCTCTATGCAACTGAATCTGGATTACTAGTTTCAGTCAAATTAATATATTTTTAATTCTTTACAAACAGATGGCTGGACAGTGAACTGACATTCCTTCATGTTACTGAACCATAACTTGTCAAATGTGGACCAAATAAATGCCAAGTAAATAGTTAATTTTAAAAAATAAACCTTTAATCCCTAGTAGAGGTGGCACTATTAAAACAAAAGAGCAAGCTGTGATAAAGCAGGACATCCTGTCACTCTGACACAGAAGGACCACCTAGGACTTGCTGTCGGGAGCCACTTCCCCTCATCTTCCTTCTGCCGTGGTTCTAACCTGTGACTGATTATGATCTATATATTCCCCAACTGTTCGTTTTCTGTGAATTTTTTATAATCAAGTCAGCCAGCTCACATCCCATTAATCAGGCTTCACCTGACTGCAAAAATCCCTCTCCATTTACTTGACTATAGCCTGCAGCTGACTTGGCCACCTACGCAGAACCATCTGAGGGCCACTGGAAAGCACTTTACCGCCACCATCTCCTACACTGGTATAATGTTTCAAAGTGTACTATTCCAGAGTAAGTTAATACTTTTCCCTGACTTAGTAACAAAAACCAAAAATAGTTTCTGGGAATGAAAAACAACTTTAATAAAATGTCAACAGACAGCAAATTTCAGCAAGATTAGACATAACAGAAGCAGCAGTGGATGAGAAGAGAGATCTGAAGAAATATTCCTAACCATTACAGAGTATTTAAAGATGAGGGAAAAAACATGAAAGAAGAAGGTAAGAGACATGGAGAATATAAGGTCTGATATGATCCAACAGGAATTCTTGAAGGGAGAAAAGAGTGAACAGGGGAGAATTTTTTTTTTTTTTTGCAGGCCTCTGACTGTTGTGGTCTCTCCCATTGCGGAGCACAGGCTCCAGACGTGCAGGCTCAGCCCAGCCACTCCACGCCACGTGGGATCTTCCCGGACCGGGGCACGAACCCATGTCCCCTGCATCGGCAGGCGGACTCTCAACCACTGCGCCACCAGGGAAGCCCAGGGGGAGAATTTTTGACGAGGTAATGGCTGAGAATTTTCCAGGACTGCTTAAAAGTATCAATCAGAGTCAAGGCAAAAAGGCAAAAAGGCAAAAAAAAAAAAAAAAAAAAATCATACCAAGAGACACATCATAGTTGAACTACAGAATGCTAGAGGTGAAGAAAATATCTAAAAAGTAAAAGTAGCCAAAGAGAGACTGTACTACGTCTTTCTCAGTAATAGACAGATTAAAGACCACACAAACAAACAAAAGGAACAGATATGAACAATTCACACTTTGGGTCTAACAGACGCAAACGGAACCTGGTATTCAAAACTGAAGGACAATCTTTTCAAGCAAGGTAGAGTATTTAAGAAAGCTCACCATGTATATCTGCAGAGCAAGTTTCCACAAAGTTAAAAACATGATATTCTGACATCAGAACACTTAAGTCAGAAATCTCTAACAAAGAAAAAACGAACTCCCAATATGGAAACTAGCTGCTCCCTCAACTTGGAAATTTAAAATCACACCTCTACATACTGATGTGTCAAAGGAAAACACACAATTAAAATTGGGAAATACAAACTGAACAATCAGAACACCATGTGTTAGCATGCGGCACACCACTAGAGAGAGGGAAATTCATAGCCTTAAATGTTCATATGAAAAAGGAGAAAGGTTTGGAATCAGTGAGCTGTGTAGACAAAACAATTAAGCTCAGCACCCAAGTTACTGCCTCAGAAAACAAGGATGCGAAGAGAGATCAGTGAAGACAGAGGTTGGCTCTTGAAAAGGTTCTGGCAAAGCTGATCGAAAAAAAGACTAAAATATTAAGCATGCAACATTAAGTATAAAAGGGGGTCATAACTGTAGATGCAGTTGAGATTGCAAGAATATGGAACTATTATAAAACGATTTTATGCCAATACATTTGAAAATTTAGGCAAAATGGACAAAGTCCAAGAAAAACACAGATGACCCAAATTAACAAGAGGAAACGGAAAGCCTGAATGGTTCTTTAACCATTAAAGAAAATGAACCAGTCATTAAAAACTGTCTCACAAAGAAAATACAGCCCCAGAAAGTTTTACCAGAATTCTTCTAAGTATTCAGATAACGAATACTGTAATTCCAACTCTATATAAACTCTCAGAAGAAGAAAAAAGGAGACACTCTAACTTATTTTACAAATTAGCATAACCTACATGCAGCAACATGGATAAACCTCAAAAACAGTACTGAGTAGAAAGAGGAGTCACAGAAAAA